AGGGCTCCCGGGGGTGTCTCAAATTTCCCTCAGTCAAAAGCCATATAGATCTTAGAAGGGCTTCTGCTCCTGCCACTTTGATTCATGGGGCATGATGATGCCTGTGTGCAGAATGATGGCTGCAATACAGGAGATGGTCTTGAGATTTATCTGTTGATCCCTTGAGTCAAAACCTTGCAGCTGGAGTCTTATTTCTTTAGAGAGCAGCAACAGTCACCGCCTCCCTTGCTGACAGTGGCCAGGATTTGGCATGCCTCTGGTATCAAGATTAATAGCTACTTGTTTATATTTTGTGTTGTTCCAAATAGGATGAAAATGACCACCTCCAGACTATTGGCTTGGAAGGCACCCGGGGTCCTAAAGTTTTGAGTGAATCTTCCGAGACCCTAAAATCCCATGGCTTTCTCATTGGAGTCTGTAGAGTCATTTTCCCTTGTCTGACCTGTTTCCCTGCTGTCAAAACTGGTATCTGTGTAGAGATTACCCCAGGGAATTAAGGAAAAGCTGAGCAGAAAGGACCCTGACCTGTTACATAGGCTTCAGACAGAGCACTTCCATTCTTAACAAATTCATAAATTGAGGACACATGTGAGTTGGTATTTAAACAAAGGGCTCTGCTATTGCAAAAGACGGTTGAGCACTTCCTCACCTCTTTTACAAATCCCTGCTTGACATCTGAGAACATCTGTTTTAAATACTCCCAGGGACAAGTTGGGTGGCAGTAAGGAAACATAATTCCCCAAACTTTCCATTGTCTTTAACACCTCAGCAATGAGCAGACTTTTGCAGTACTTTTGCTTGTCCTCTTTTATGTGAATACTTTCTTCATATCTCTGATTGTTAGCCCTGAATTGAACCCCTGAATCCTCCTGACTACTGATTAGCTTTAGGAGTGGATTCATCTTGTCCAAGACACTGATGTATAAACTGGATGTCACACTATCAATTTACAGCATGTATAAATAAAAAAGCTGTCCATTTGCCTGTTATATGATATGAAAATACCGATTGAACTTAGAGATTTTGCTTTGGATGGAATAACCTAAGTTTCAGTGTCTCTATTAATTTTTTTTTTTTTGCTTGATACTGCTGCATAACAATTAACCCTACCTACTTATCCTTGTATGGTGATTTTTGGTAACATGTACCTTTCTTACTCAGATTTCCTGGTCAGGAAAATGTGTCTCTACTGGGCTTAGCTTGGATCAGCAGGGCTTGGCTCTAGGATAAGGGTCAGCTCAGACTTAACCTCACATATCTGCACTTTAAGACCTGAACTGAAGGGACAGAAACTCCTTGGGGGAGACTTTTCTTCTGGCAAACAGCAGGGGTACGGGAGAGGTGAGCAGAGGCAGGTGATGCCTCTAAAGCCATTGTCAGAACTGGCCCTTCGTCAGTCCCACACATGTCACACTGGCTAAGACAAGCCTTATGGCTGAGTCCAGTGTTGATGGGCTTGGATATACGCTTTATCTCTTCTACTCAAAGGGAATTGAGTAGATTGCCAATTCACAAGGCAAAAAGGAGCTGTAGTCCTAATAGTAATTACAGGGCAGGAAAGAACTGGGAATAGTAATTCAGCCTACTGTAGTATTCTTGCCTGGAATAGTCCCTGGACAGAGGAGCTTGGCATGCTGTACAGTCCATGGGGTTGAGAAGAGGCACACACAACTGAGCGACTGGGCGCGGACAGGCTGCTCCAGAGGTTTATGTGAAATTCACTTAGTGGGGGCACTGGGGAGCTGTTGAAAGGTGCCTCCCAGAGGAGTTAAAATGGAATTACAGTGAGATCCCATGTTACGCTAACCTTTACCATCTGTCACATAAGACAGCAAGCAGTGGTTTCAAACGTGAGCTCCATGTTGAAAGTCACAGTGATAAGCAGGTATAGGTAGAGGTACTGATTTTCAGGTGAGCTGTTTCCACCACATGGGTTGGTAGCACCAAGACCCAACTGAATCCACACTCAATCTATGAACTTTGGCTTTTCAAAAAAAAAAAACTGAATTCTTGTAAGGATGACAGCTCTCATAGTTTTATGTCCATTTGTCTTATTTTCATTCTCAGGGTTCTAGATTTGACTGTTTCTGTCACTTTCATATTCTGCCTACAGTAATGCTACTCAACATAGGAGAAAAGGCAGTGAAAATAGAATTCAGACAAAGATAGGAAATCGAAAGTGACCAGTCTACCTATAGAACTCATGCAGACACTGATAAAGAAAGGTCCTGTCTCCTGCCGAGCTCACGGGCACCCTCAGTCTTGTAACAAAGAGCTCCGCGAAGTCACTGCTTATACGTCTGCCTGGCAGGAAAAGGATTTGGCATCTTTCCCTAAAAGGAAAGGCCCATGATAGCCCAGACAGCATTTGTCCTGAGAGATTGCCAGGGAGAGAGGCAAGGAGGTGGAATGAAAAAGCTTTGACTTACGAGGGACACAGGCTCTAGCCCCAGCCCTGCAGGTGACCTTCTGTGTGACCTTAGGCAAATGGTTTCCCCTACTCTCACCTCAGTTTCCCCATTGCTCATTGATACCCATGATGAAAGTCGTGGGTTTTAGTCCTGACTCAGCTGCATGGTCTCAGTCAACTCATCTGGGATTTCACAATCCTATTTTTCCCATCTGGTAAAGTAGGGTCAAATGTTCTTCAGTAACTGGGACAAGAAAGTGACCTGTCAATTCCGACGCGTCAGAGGAACGTGAAGGGCTATCATCCAAGGGGCTACTTGATCAGTCCTGGAAGAGCCGGGATTCTCCCTGCAGTGGCTTTTTTCAGTTGGTCTGGTAGAAGGCAGAGGGCAGGGTCCCAGAAGCTTTGAGGGTCCCTTCCTGACTGACCTGGATGCTTTTGTTTCCTCTCAGAGAAGGGGAAAGGCCTCGTTACTTGCTAGTGAGTGTGCATGTTGGAAAAAAACAAAACAAAACCCCACCACTTTCTAGCCTGGGGCCTCTTCTGAATCTCTCTGCAGAGAGAAATCAGGGATGCCCCGAAATTGAGAATGTGGCAGAGAACTGAGACCGAATTGCTCACAGCAGGGTTAGATGACGGATGCTCAGTCATATCAGGACCCAGGAGATGCGCAGGGCCCTGCCCTGCGGGCTGTTTGAAGGTCACACCGACTCGGCCCTGCTGGGAAACGAACTCAGTGTGTGTGTTTGCGGGTTCTCTACGCTGAGGGCACGGTTCGCTGGGCTCTGCCTCCCCTATATTCCTACAACTGCCCGACCGCCTCTGCCCCATAGCCCCTCCTGGTGAATTTTCAACTTATTATGTTTGAACTGTACTCCTCTTTGCTGTATTTTCCTCAAAATTTGTTCTAAAGGGGCCAGTGTGGCACAGGAAATGCGGCTGTGGCCTGATACCGTTCCAGTCTAATTGAATCTGGGCCAGAAAGGAGCTCCTGCCTCATTTCAGGGGAGAAGCTTCGGTCTTTGTTTTGTTCCCCCCTCTGGGGGAGTGGAAGCAGAGTGAGCCCTGTGACTGTCCTGGAGTCCCAGGACCGCTCAGGACAGTGAAGGGGACAGTCTCTGTGGAGCACTGGCCATGAGGCACTTTTTCCTGTGTAAACCTGACAACCCACAGCGCAGGGGGAGGTACTGTTACTCCTGTTTTGCAGGTGTGACTCAGGGAGGAAAAGAACACATCTGTGGGTAAATGAGTAGCCCGTTGGCACCTCCTTTTTCAGCCTCTCTGCCTTAAAAAGTGTGTGCTGGGGAGAATAAGGTGTTATTCCATTCTGCTCTGTCTTTAGAAAAAGCCCTTTTCTCTCCAGGCTTCCGTTTGTGCTTCTGTAAAATACAGTCCTTGACATCAGACCTCTTTGAGCTCCAGAATGCTGTATTCCATGCCTCTCAGCACTTCCCCCAGTTCTCCTTAGCTCCAGAGCAGACTGGATAACTTCCTGGGATGTTGGCTTCCATTTCAAGGAGTGGTCCCACAGACAGGTGTGGATCTAGGATTTAAGGTGATAGAAGGACCTGCCCAGATGTTGTAGGGAAGATGGTGAATGGCTGTGAAGTGGTCTGAGAAGATTCCTGGATGTCGTCAGTGGAAAACTATGTGTTTCTATGGGGCTGTTGTGATTTTCGTTGCCTCTGAGCTACTTCAGAACTCTGTAAGTTGTAGATAACTGGGAGCAATGCAAATGGTTCACAGATACCCAAATGCTTTTTTTTTTGCAGTGGAAGTGCAACTGGTTTAGCAGACACCTGTGGACTAAGCCACTTGAGCATCTATTTGTAGTTTCATTTCAAAACTTCTTATTGTTTGTGTATATGTGATTCTTTAAACATCTTACTGGTTCCCTTGCTAATTAATGACCTAAATTAAAATCTCTGATACACATTTATTTTATATTTCTATGAGGGTCATGATTATACCCTTTTAAATAAGCTATCCTTTAACAATATATGGTAGCTGTGACACAAATCTGTTTAGCATTGTTGATGGGTAAAGGGTTGAAAGTGTAGGTATATAAACATTTGTACTTCCAGGCTAGAGGCTGTTTTTCTGGTCCAATCTATTTCCTACAAAACTCTGGCCCTCTGAGTTTTTCTTTTTGCATTTTCTGCAAAGGGACCCATTCTTCCTGACTCCCTACTTCAAAGCTACTCTAGAAGGCTTGCTAACCTACTACCTACTTCTGTGTTTAGGTTTGACCTATCATGATGTGGGGGGATAGAAATACTTCCCCTGGAGCAGAGATGAGGACTAGGTTAGGCTGTGTGTGTCTGAGGGTATTGACCTGCAGTCATTTCAGGTACCAGTTGAGCTGGCCGCTCAAGGGATCTATGTCTTGTGCCTGCCCCAAGTGTGCTCATGAGAATTGGGCTCCCTAAACTCCAGGCCACCCCTCTCCCTGCATCAGGCCCTTAACAAGGTTGGCGGAACTCTCTACCATTTAGAGGTGATATTGGGGCCTGAAGAGCTGACCAGACCTGGATGCTAAGTGCTTCTCAGACCAGGTGACAGGACCTTCTAAAGCCTCCAATCTTTCTAGGAATGACCTTCTCCAAGATTTCCTCACCAGCACTTTCCTATTGACTATATGTTATTTCCATCCATTTTGAGTCGAGCCCTAGAATAGCTCCTTGAGCTAGGCTGGAAGAGACATGGACTTCAGAGAGAGGAAGTGACTTGCTGAAGGTGAGTGTGGTAGGGAAACAACCCAAGCCACGACATGGCAGGCCCCAGACCACTGTCTTGACACTTCATTTTGACCCTAGGCTGCCAGCATTCCCCAGCCTTAGCTGTCTTAGACATTTTTGTCTTTGACCAAAGAGATGGTCTGAGTGAGGGAGGGGAGGACTTTCTTCCACCCATCCCTTCTGCTTGGAATATTCCTCTACCCTGATGTTAGCTACTTAACTGTTCTTTGAGATGCAAATAAGATAGGGTTGATGGCTTGAATATTATCCCCTAGGCATTGGAGGCTCTGGGACTGTCCTAGTCTCTCTCCCTGGGAGTAGTAGTTAAAATGCTTTTGGCCCCAGTCAGGTGGCGTTAATGGTAAAGAACCCGCCTGACTATGCAGGAGACATAAGAGATGCAGGTTCGATCCTAGTGTTGGGAAGATCCCCTGGAGGAGGGCATGGCAAACCACTCCAGTATTCTTGCCAAGAGAATCCCAGGGACAGAGGAGCCTGGTGGGCTACAAGTCCATAGGGTCACAAAGAGTTGGACACGACTGAAGCAACTTAGTGCACACGCATGCACCAGAAAACTCAATTTACAGTAACTTAAAAACTAGGGATTTCTCTAGAAAAATGGGCAGCTTGGAGATAGATGGCTCAACATCAGAGTCAGAGCTCCTATGATCTTCTAGTCCTAACTGTCCGATAAGGTCCTTCAGACACATGTGGCTATTTAAATTTAGATTAATTAAAATTTAATAAAAAGAATGAAGTTCCTCAGTCATACTAGCAACATTTCAGGTGGTTGGTGCCTACTTCATTGGGCTAGTACAAGTACAGAACATTTCCACCAATGCAGAAAGTTCTGTTGGATGGCAGTGGGATGTTCCCTGCAGTCTAGGAGTGCATAGACAAAGAGAGGAGAAAGGTAGAACATGATGGTGCTACCAGGTTTTCCTTTTTATCAAGAATGCAACTTTTCCAGAATTCCTACAAGACTTCTGTCAGTGTCTTCCTGACAATGTCCAGGGTCCTTCCCAGCTGCCAGGGGGAGTTTCTAATACCAAGAAGAAGAGGGAAGGATGTTAGGCAGGCTTATATTTTCCTGGTTACATCTCCTCTGAGATCCTGTCTCTGCTCAATGTGTTCTAAGTCCTTGGGTTGTTTCTGTGTATGTTGACACATACACAAAGTCTACCCCACTTTCCCTAGCTGTTTGCACAAAAAACAGCAATACAGATGCTCATAGAAGTCAACTGAAGCAGTCCAGGGACTTGAAGGGACCTTAGATCCTATTAATGTAAATCACTTAGCACTAACATTGGGCATTCTTGGTTTTACCAGTCGGTGTGTGTATCACACTGTCAAGATAGCCTGTTTCTCCCCTCTATGTACCCATCATTAGGAGCACCATCTCTTAGGCCACCTGATTCACCTCCTTTTACTAAGTAGAGCAATTTAGGCTGATAATACTTGCCACGTGGCCTGGTGGTGGGGTTGGGGGGAGGTGGGGCTCTCCCTTTGCACAATGAAAAATCCTGCAAAGCAATGGCAGTCTTCTTTATCCTCCCTCCCCCCAGCCTCTTGCCTTTTCATTAGTGCGAGAGAACCAGGAACAGGTTTTGAAATTGTCCATCTATTCCTTTCTCTCTCCCTAACAGCTCTGCCAGACTAAAGATAAGATGTATCTTCACTCTGATGGAAACAGTTTCTCCTGTCTTGGCAAGGCAGCAACATCCACAGCTAATTTTAATTTTAAATAACATTTGTTCTATTGCACTCATCCACAGCATTTTTCATTATTGAATGTTGAAAATACAATTAGCCAAGCATTTTGGTTAAGAAGTAGAGATTGAGATTTTTTAAGAAACTGAATAAAATAATCTTAATTCTGGAGGTAGAGTGGCCCATAAATCAGATCTGAGTATCAGTGACAGTTCTGATGGTTGAGTAACCTTGTACAAATATACTTAAACTAGCCTTGGATGAATCCGCAATCCATGGACGATGGTCTTCAAGCCAAATTCTGTCATTTCAGAATGGAAACACTGTTTTTAGCTCAGGAGCTTGTTATAAAATAAAGACTGGATGTGACCTACTAAGCCTAACATATATACTATTTGACCCTTTACAGGAAAAGTTCACCCTACCCTGGATTAGATGGTCTCTGAGAATTTTTCCAACTCTCAAGGTCTGAATGTCTGGGATCTGGGTAGCCTAGGTGATTCAACATGTGTTAAGTCCAAGATTTCGTGGGGCTCAATTAATGACAGTGGTTTCCGTCATCTCTGGGGTCTTTCCATTCCGTATCAAAAAGGAAAATGGGAGGGGGCATGACTAATCAGGGGCTGGGACTGGAAGCTACCAGAGGATGACTTTACGGTAAACCTGCTGACGTGGTGCGTGAAGAGAGATTTCCCTCAGCAGGTGAGCAGCAGGCATGTACGTCAGATACGGGAAACTGTGGGGCAGAACATTCTGGCTTTCTAGCCGCAGCCAGGCCTGCCCATCTGTAATAGGTGTCAGCAGCTCCAACTGCGGTCAGCTGGACAGCTCTGGCCCCAGCCTGTGTGTGTTGGGGGGGAAGGTCAGAGGTGGAGGAGTCAGGGTGGGAGAACTGAGTCACATTTACTGCCCCACAGGCCCTGAGATCTTGAATTCCACTCCGGTAAGGACTTTGTAATGGGGACTGCTCCCCTCAGTCGCCTCTCTCTGAGGTCTGGGGAACCTGCCCTTTAGTGCAGGGTTTCGAGGGAACCCAAGTCTTCACTCCTGTTCATCCCCAGGGAGACCGCATGCAAGTCACCTAACTTCACTGAGACTCGGTTTTCTCAATAGTAAGATGGTGCCAATGAATCCTAATCTACAGAGCGTCTTGGACTGTTGAGAAGGCAAAAGATGTTACCTGGAAAAACGGTTACAAACAGGAAAGTACAATAAGGCCCCAAAGGTTCAAGGGGAGCTTTCTTTTAAAACTATGGTTGTTGAACGCTTACTGTGTGCTAGGCACTTGGGTGAGCTCTTTACATGGTTTATCCATTTAACCCGCAAAACATGTCCCTCTGGGACATGTGCTACTAACGCCATGGGATACTATACTGTCCTTGTTTATGGAGAGGGTGACTGTGGGTCACCCTTTGACCTCTGAAGCTGCAGCACTGGGATTCAGTCCCAGGTGTGAGTGAGCAATTTCCTTGTTCCTAACCACTTTTCAAGATCTGGAAAGACCAGGAACTTCTAGAATTGACATTTTTCAGTAGCTATGAGGATTCCTCATTCCATTCATGGGAATAGCCAAAATTGCTTTAGACTGGCCTATTTTTTGTCTCATAGAATTTTGTTTTGGCTTCTGACAAATCACATGGATGATTGCCCTTATTAAAGCTCTCAGTTGGAGTATTTATACTCTTTAGTAACTTTAGAGAAAAGAAGAAAGACAATGTTTTCCGGAAACAAACACCTAAAAATCTCATCCCCAAATAAAATAATGATAGCAATGAAAAACCAGTTAAGATGAAATTTCAATGTTTGAATGAATTTTGTGCCATTAGAAGTTTCAGAATTCTTTGATTTTTATCTTACCTCTCCCACTGCTAGTTCTTTTCTTTTCTGATTGCATTCTGGATAATTTTGAGATGGAAACATTTTAGAATTACAGATATCCAGTCATATCTGAATAATTATTATCCATTTATGGAGTCATGCTACAGAGTTTTCTAACCACTTTTATTTCCAATAAATCAGTTGAATTTTACAGACACCTTCTGAGTTCTGGAAAGCATGATGTCTGTTGTCCATGAGAGGAAGCAGAGGCACAGGGCGGTTAACTGACTTACCTGGAATCACACACCTAGTCCACAGCAGAGGCCGAGTTTCTAAGACTTACCCTATCTGCCCGCCTCCTCTGGGTCATTGTGTATTCAACCACTGCAAATGTTGGCTGGGTGTGTGTGCTGAGTTGCTCTATTGTATCTGACTCTTTGTAGCCCACCAGGCTCCCCTGTCCATGGGGATTCTCCAGGCAAGAATACTGGAGCGGGTTGCCAAGCCCTCCTCCAGGGGATCTTCCCAACCCAGGGATCGAACCCAGGGCTCCCACGTTGCAGGGGGATTCTTCACTGTCTCAGCCACCAGGGAAGCCCCGTATTACTGGGTTGGGCAGCCTGTCCCTCCTCCAGGGGATCTTCCCAACCTTGGAACTGAACTGGGGTCTCCTGCATTGCAGGCAAGTTCTTTACCATTTGAGCTCCCCAAATACTGGTTGGTTGTGTTCTTATTACATTTCCTCATTTAATGCATCCATTAATTTATTAAATTTATTAATTTTATTATTATACTATAATATTACAGTATATTATTATACTATATAGATTATAATATTCCATAATATACTACGCATATTATAGTACATTATTATACTATATATAAAAGTATAATAATATATCATGTTACCATATTATTATGATATGTGATTGTGATATTTATAATCAATGCTCATTAAATTCATCACAATTATAGTATATTATTATGCTATATTGCCATAGTATTATAGTATATTTTTACATTATATATTATATCATTATAATATTTATAATACTTTATTTTAAAATTATTACATCATTTATTAAATTCATTACATTATTTATTAATTAATTTTATCATTAATTAATTAACCACCTCATTAAATTCATTACATTGATTCATGACAGTCCTACAGAATAGATATTTATTATCACTGGAGTTTTTCAAATGAGGAAACCAGGACTTAGGTGAGCATTTGTTCAAGTTTCCTCAGCCAAATAAAAGAAGAGGCAGGGTTTGAACCCAGCTCTGCCTGACCCAGAACCACTGTCTTGCCACCTGTCTTCTCTGCCGTCATTGGCACGGCCCGAGAAGGTTTAAAAGAGGCAGAAGGAAGACGATAGGATATCTTGGCTCCCAAACCATTGGGATTTTATCTGGCCCTTTGGAGAGCCCATGAGTGCATCTGGTGAGTGACCTTAACATAAGTCTGGTGGTGAGGGCAGCAAGTTGTGTCCTGGCCTCCCTGAAAGGAAGTGGGTCTGTTCAAAGGCAGCTGAGAGAATGATCTAAGAGCAGCAGCAAGTCTTGTCAGTTTGGGCAGGTGAACTTTGTACCTGTCTGGATGTCTCCTCTCTTTCTCTTTTCTAGCTAAGGATTCAGGAGTTCATAACATTTATTAAGGCTCTCTTAGATATCTTGAGTTCACTGCAAGCGTGTATGATGCCCATTTTACAGAGGAGGAAACAGAGGCTGAGAGGTATTCTATGACTCAAGATCACACAGATGAAAGGGCTGAGCTGGGATTTACACTTAGGTTTCTCTGGCATTAAGACTGTCCACCTGCTGCCTTTGTCTGTCTTTTCATTCAGTGCTGGACCCCTTCATTTTCATAGCACTCTGCTCTGTTTCTAATCTCATTTGTCCGCAGGCCCAGCTTCTGGAGAAGTCCATGCTGGGCCTAAGCGAGGGAAAGCAATTCCCAGAGACTCAGATGCTGCCGCTGCATATGCGCTCTGCTGGGTCAGCGAGCTCCTGTCTTCCAGTCCTTGTTCCCTTACTAACAATTTGAGTGACTGGGAGGCTGTCCCTAGGAAGATTAATGGCACTAGTAGCTCACAGATGCCCAGCACTTCACGCTCATTTTATTCCTCATCTGAACTAGGAAGGCTCAGATACTTCATGAATGTCGCCCACTTCCTGGGTTCCTGGGTCCTGCTCTAAGCTTGACTAGCAAGCTTTTAGTGACCCTGGCTCCATGCCTTCCCATTTCTGGACCTCAGCTTTTCCATCTGCAAGTGAAAGAGATCCTTGGAAAGCTGTGTGTGTGCTTAGCCGCTCAGTCGTGTCCGACTCTTTGTGACCCCATGGACTGTAGCCCTCCAGGCTCCTCTGTCAGTGGGGATTCTCCAGGCAAGAATTCTGGAGTGGGTTGCCATGCTCTCCTCCAGGGGATCTTCCCAACCCAGGGATCGAACCCAGGTCTCCCGCACTGCAGGTGGACTCTCTACCATCTGAGCCACCAGGGAAGCCCTGTTAGAAAGCTGCCAAGGGACAAATCCGAGGCCTTTGGCTTCTATGTAAAATTCTCTCCGTTGTTTTTAAAACTGTGATCTATGCTAAATGACTTTTATTTAATCTTACAGAAATAACCAAACAACAACTCTCTAAAAATTTTTTTTACATTTTCTGCTGTTTTTGTGGGGAGGTCATGTTTTTCTTTTTGTAATGTGAACTTTGCCCAAATCTAATTGATCATTTTTCTCTACTCCACCTCCAAGAAATGGAGTTTAGGTTTGAGATGACTACTTCCAACCCAGCACAAAGTCTTCCTGCCGTAGTCAGTCACAGGCTGAGTCCCTAACAGCACATCAGGATGATGACACATTTTCCACCCAGGGGACCATATCTATTTCCGTCACCAACCTCATCCCTCTCCCTTTCACTGAGAGCTCAATTCTTAGACCATTGCAAGAGCTTGTTTTAAGGAGACACCCTGACTGCAGAGTTTTACTTTTTGAATCAGCTTTGGGAACTGCAGCCTAGAGAGAAAGATTGCTCCCTTTGCTTAGCCAAATGTTTTTACTTTTCCATTTATGGTTATTTCATGAGCTTCCTCTTACCCATCACTATCCCACCCTCACCTCTGTGCTCACTGGAAGCATGGGTCTAGGATGGCAAACAGGACCTGAAACCTGGAATAGTGTCTTACCAGGCTGCGAGGAGAGCTGCAAGGGCAGGAGTCTCTGCTTCCGTTCTCCTCACGCTGTCCCTTAGGGCTGCACAGCATCTCCCGGCCAGGTTGGGGATATTTTTCCTCATCACCTGTGAAGCATCATAAATCATCTGCCCCTGCTGTATGCTTAGCTGAGTTCTGGAGATTTGCAGAGAAGTCTGAAGGTCTACTTTTTGTCCTCAGGGGGTGAACTGTTGAGGCAAGTAGATTTCATTGGAAAAAGTTCAGAGTTGGTTAAGATTGGTCTGAGGCCGTACTGAAAGTACCAACTTGCTGCCTACCCCGCCCACGAGTTCTGGGCTGCAGGCTCTTCCGGGTTTGTGCTAACCACCTGGGGCTTTGCAAAATAGCAAATTTAGCTATTTGGTCTTTGGAGGCTACACGATAGCCTGGTAAATACCACTTTCGTAGTATCACTGGTTTGCTCAAGAATACCCAGGGATTCCTCATGATAGTTTTCTACTTGTGTGTCCCAAAATCACCCCCAAGCCCAGTGGGTCAGCACCTCGGGAGCAGCTCAGCTGGTCGATTCTGGCTTCAAGCGGGTGTGACCTCGTGTCTCGGCAGAGGAGACAGATTCATGAACACATGTGAATGTTATGGTTTGCGTTACCAGCTTTGAGTATAAACACAGTCACAAGAAATTATTAGGAAATGAATTTTAAAAGCAAAAAGCCCTAAAGAATCTTGCAAGATGGGTGTACTCTACCTATCATAAGAAACAAACATTTCCAATCCTGTAGAAACTCCTGGGTATACCTTGCAGGTCCTTGCTAAGTTGCTTCAGTCATGTCCGACTCTTTGTGACCCCATGGACTCTAAGCCCGCCAGGCTTGTCTGTCCATGGGATTCTCCAGGCAAGAATACTAGAGCAGGTTGCCATTTCCTCCTCTAGGGGATCTTCCCAACCCAGGGATCGAACCCACCTCTCTTGTGTCTCCTGCATTGGCAGGTGGATTCTTTACCACTAGTGCCACCTGGGTATACCTTTCCTGTTGCATATTCCAACCATCTCTTCATCCAAGTGGTAGCTAATTCCTTGAATGAAGTCTTTATCAGTCCCCATCAGTTCTCCTATACCTTTACTGCACCAGTGTGCGTATGTAAGTGATGTGTAGCATTGCTTTGCAGACTTTTAAATTACACTGAATTTTGTCCTAGTGCATGTGCTTTTCTGCAAGGTGTTTTCTTCATCCAGCATCCTACAGGTGAATACCCTTGTTCATCCAGTTTTTGCTGCTGTATAATGTTACACTGTGTGGCCATACTGTAACTTTTTTATTCATGCTCTTGTTGATGGATACCTGGGTTTTTATAATTTCTTTGAAAATAATTGCCAGAGCTCTCCCTGCCACAATTAGCAGAATGTTCCTATCACCCCCTTGAGATCCTATGATACCCCCCAAAATGGATAGGAATCTTAGTGACTTTCTTAAGCTTAAGGGATAAGCTCTGCTCAAGAGCTGAATCTGTTCATTGGCTGCATTTGCTTTAGTTCAGTCGCTCAGTTGTGTCCAACTCTTTGTGACTGCATGGACTACAGCATGCCAGGCTTCCCTGTCCATTGCCAACTCCCAGAGCTTGCTCAAATTCATGTCTGCTCATCATTAACTCAATGAGAGTATGAACCATGCTGTCTAGGGCCACCAAGATGGACAGGTCATGGTGGAGAGTTCTGACAAAATGTGGTCCATTGGAGAAGGAAATGGCAAACCTTTTCAGTATTCTTGCCTTGAGAACCCCATGAACAGTATGAAAAGGCAAAACGATATGACACTGAAAGATGAACTCCCCAGGTTGGTAGGTGCCCAGTGTGCTACCGGAGAAGCGTGAGAAACAACTGCAGAAAGAATGAAGAGACGGAGCCAAAGCCAGCCCAGCTGTGATGTGACAGGTGATGGAGGTAAAGTCTGATGCTGTAAAGAGCAATACTGCATAGGAACCCGGAATGTTAGGTCCATGAATCAAGGTAAATTAGAAGTGGTCAAACAGGAGATGGCCAAGAGTGAACATCGGCATTTTGGGGATCAGTGAACTAAAATGGACTGGAATGGGTGAATTCAATTCAGATGACCATTATTTCTGCCCTTGCTTTCTGATAGTTAGATGATGTCACTGCTCAAAACCTGTTCCTCGTAGTCCTTGGTGTCCTTAATCCTCAATATGGTAGCATCCGCAGGAGGAGAGCTGAGCAGGTGAGTATGAGCCAAAGAGCCCAGACCTGGAGTG